CCCCCCCCCCTGAAATGTAGAGGCCTACTTGTACAGGTTCCACTCCAGTGGCCTATCTAGTGTGTCCATACTTGACTGCCATAAGGCTCAAGACAAGAGGATAAGACTCTGCGCATAAAAGACACTAGCGGTCTGCACCTCAACCGTGTACGCCCTAGTCACTCTTTCAGTGGTAGCGGAGCAGTGATCCTGGAAGACCCAGGTGAGCTCCTTTCCTAGGCGTAGAATTGCTTGTGGGCAACCGGCCAAGGATTGGATTGACGACTGGGATGAGCCTGATGCGGATGTGGCTTATGAGCCAGCAGCCTATGTGAATAGGCATGTGAGAAGAGAACCAGCAGCTATAGCAATGACAACACAGGTCACTACAAAGGTGCCTCCATCTTATGATGGAAAGACTTCATGGTTTTCCTATGAGGATGCCATAGACGATTGGTGTGATATCACCGAGCTGGAGGATGAGAAGAGAGGACCAGCATTGAGAAACCGACTAGAAGGAGAAGCAGCTGTATACAAGCGAGTATTAGACAGAGATGCATTGAAGGCGAATGATCCACCAGGAGCAGGAGTAGAATACTTCAAACGAGTACTACGTCCATATTTTGTGAAGGGATCCACCAATGTATTCCTGTATAGGTTTATGCAATTCGTGCGCTTCAATCGCGGATCAGCTGATATGATGAAATGGATGACAAGATTTCAGATCCTACTCCAAAGGCTTATGAGCAGTTGGATGGACATGCTGGATCCAGTAACACAAGTACATCCTCAGGTACAAGCTCAGATGCAAGCAGATGCAGCGATGAATGGAGTAGCTCCAACAGCGGAAAGAGTACAGGAAATCATGCAGAATGTCAATGGCAATCTGAGAATTCTTCATCAGAACGATTTTCCTTTAGGAGAGAATCTCATTGCCTTACTCATGCTGTCACTTGCGGATTTGTCTCAGGACCAGAGGAACACTTTGACCTCTTTGATGACCCATCGTGGTAGAGTCCTGCAGCAATACACGACGATAGAGTTGAGGACAGTCTTCATTGAGATGTTCTGCACAACAAAGACTTCAGTAGACAATCCTCTGATGCAGCCAACAGGTGCTGGAGGTAGAAGATCATTCCTCGTGCTAGACGAAGGAGAACTTGATGGTACATATGGCTATTGGGCCGAAGATGAAGAAGATGGAACAGAAGGATTCCTAGATGCCCTAGACGATGTCTTTTGGGTATATGATGAACAGAGTTTCTCTTGGTTCCAAAGGAGATTCCAAGGAAGAAGAGCCAGAAAAGGCAAGGGAAAAGGAAGAAGAAAAGGAAAAGGTAAAGGAAGATCAGGCCGCAGATTTTTCAGACCTCGTGGAAAAGGAAAAGGAAAGAGACGAGGTAAAGGCCATTATGCTGATGAGCAATCGACAACTTATCCAGATGAGTATTTTGAAGAGAATCCTTATGAGGACACTTGGGAGTCAAACCAAGTAGCATATGATGCTATTCTTGCCGAAGATATGAATGACTATCTTCAAGGAGAATATGAAGATGCCAATGACTTTTGGCAACAGCTTGAAGAAGCATGGTTTTCCCACAAAGGAAAAGGAAAAGGCAAGAGAAAAGGCAAGAAAGGAAAAGGAAAAGATAAAGGAGATGGCAAACAAGATGCAAACTATGCAAATCAACAACAGCCACGTTCTTTACCTGCACCTTCAAGAACTTCACAAGCATCAGGAAGCAACCAAGGTTTCTTTGCGCATTGTGTGACAACAGCAGCTGAAGTCCATGACAGTGAGGTGGACTTGCTGTCAGGCATGATGACCTCATGTCAAGATGAAGCTGACTGTAAGGTCAACAATGGTGAGACGATCTTCGATGACATGAGTGCCATTGTGAGGTACTCTTTGTCAGAGGAGATGCTCACAGATGCTCCTGATGGCTTTGCGCTTATGAGCGCTGAGGAAGAAGTGAAAGAGATGCAGGCTATTTCATTTTTGACTGAGAATCGCTTCCCGCCAACTATTGCAATCCTGGACATTGGATGCACTAGAGCTATGGGATCAAGGCGTGCAGTCGATTATTTTTGTAACTATGTCGACAATCATCCAGACTGTGGACTATGGTGCTCTTTCGAGTCTACCAAGAGCAAGTTTTACTTTGCCAATTCTCAGAAGGCTTCTTGCTCTCAGAAACTGGTGATTTACATGTATGATCGTGCATGGACGATCCACCATACAGAGTTCGACATAGTTGAAGAAGGAGAAGTCCCTTTGCGTATGAGCTTGCCACAGATGAGGAACTTAGGCTTTGAACTCAGGCTGACACCTCAACATGCTTACCTGACATCGGTGCCTCTTGGTATCAAATTTTTGGAGTTGAAGGTTGCAGCCAGTACTCATCTTGTTTTGGACTTCCAAGATATCGCATGGTATCTGTCTGACGTGCGTTTGCAGGCTCGGCGCGAGAAGAGCTTTTACTCTCACTTCACTCACTATGAATATGGCCATATTTCGGTTGATCACAATAGTGATGAAGATGAAGCTGAGCATGCATATCCTGTGGTTGACTACTGGGAAGTAGATCTTCACAAGAGAGAACTGACACGTCACCACAAGGATTACAGGAAGATTCTTTTCCCAGCAACTAAGTCCTGTCCTGGAGACACTGACTTGCTGGAAGACTTGCGACTGACAATCATCAAGAAGAAAGAAGGAGGAGAAGAGATCAAGAAGATAGATGATTGGCGCAAGGCAAAATGGAAGGACCTACAAATTGGCTATGAATGGCGTGGTAGAACAATTTTTAAGTTCAAGCCAGATGCCAAAATTCCAGATCTAAAGATCAGGAAGGCTGGCATTGAGCACCGTGGCATTGGTGATCCCGATGCAGTGGTGCGCTCCTCCTCAGAGAAGGTTCCCATTGCAAAGGACAGGGAACCAGGCTTCTCTTCAGAGAAGGAAGGTGCACCATCCAGTGCCGCGGAAAAGCCCGTGCCGCCGAAGTTTCGGTATACTTCAAAGGGTTTTGATCCATTTTGGAAAGGACGCAAGTCGAAACCATCTGAGCCTCCACAGGATTTAAAAGGTGATGATCCTGAGGGTTATACTCCTTCAGAACCACCTGAGAGGCCAGAAGGTGAACTTGTAGAAATTCCTAAAGCATCAAAAGGACCATCAAGTGATAAACATGAACCACTTGAACCAGGTGATGGCGCTCTTGAGCCTAGGCGGATTTCAATCCCATTACCTGGTAGTGAAGTTGTTGCAATGACACCGGCGTATAGGAAGATGTTACAGAGACTGGAGGACAAGGTAGAGCTTTATAAGCTTCATGTGAAGCACTACCATATGAGTCCTACTCAGTTTCGTAGACGTGTTTCTATGTTGAAGCTTCCTGACTCTGTTCTAGAGAAGTATGAATCAGTTGTCAGGAACTGCCGTGTTTGTAACACTTGAGTGGCACCTCCGCCACGAGCCAGAGTCTCCGGTATTAGAGCTTCATGTTTTGGTGATGTTGTTTTTGCTGATCATTGTGAGGTTGAACTTTACAAGAACAAGTATATCATTCTACTTGTTCTTGATGGTGCCACAAATCTTCTCTGGGCTACGGCGCAGAAAGACCTCATAGATCAAACCACCATCCAAGCAGTGAGACAATGGTCTGATGAGAACAACTGTGTTCCGAAGGCCATCGTAGGAGACGAAGCCTTTTTCACAGATGCTTTTGTTGAATACTACAGGTTTCATGGTATACAACAATGTCCTTGTGGGCCAAGAACTCCTTGGCCAAACCGAGCAGAGACAGCTGTACGTTTGTTCAAACGTATGTGGCATGTTATGAAGGTAGATCTGGATGACCCACGTTTTCGTGGTGTTACGGTCAGAGAAGTGGTAAAGAAAGTAGTGTGGGCAAGAAATTGTCAGTTGACTATCAGTGGATATTCACCAATAGAGATAGCAACTGGAAGACGTCCACCAGATCTTTTTGACCTTGAGACCGCAAGCCCTGAGCAATTGTCAGCTAGTGCAGCCGCACAAGATCGTACAAATCTGGAACTACAACGTGTAGCTTTGAGAGCTCATCAAGAAGCACGACAAGCTCAGGACCTTCGAGCAGATCTTGCAAGAAGGGCTATGCCAAGTGACGGTCCATATTTCCAAGGTGAGAAGGTTTTTATTTGGACTCAGGATTCATCAAAGTTCAAGGATAAAGGACGTTGGGTTCGTGCCACAGTACTTGGACAAGAAGGAGCTATGGTCCAAGCCAACACTGGTAAGGCAGTGGTACGTAAAGGTTAGACGATATCACGATGAGTGGCATGATGTTTCCATACCGGCATTAGACGATGAGAATCCGGAGAACTTACGTGAAGATCACGAACTGTATGTTGATGCCGAATTTGGAGAACAGTCCTTTTTCTTTTGTAATGATGATCATCCTGATGTTGTTGAGTTACTTCATGGAAACAGTGGATTATCTTGGTTCCTTTCAAAGAATGGTGTTAGAGTTGCATCTCCTATGGATTTCAAGGCAGGATACAACTTTTCCACGTTGCAGGGCCAAGATGCTATTTGGCAGCAACTTGAGAGGTTGCAGCCCCACTGTGTAGTGATCAACAACCCTTCTCCCAAACAAAATAGAGCTT